GTATAAGCCTAAAGCATTAGAAGATGGTCCGTTTTGTGTCGCACAAAAACTCACCTTGTTCAATTCTGTACTAGATATTTGTTCTTATATCTTAAATATCCATATTAAAGAGTTATCTGTAAACATTTATTCTACACATAAACAACATTCACGGGTAAAGCGCAACTGTTGAAAGTGCGCGCGTTTTTATCTGAGGCAATATGGCGCCCAACTGTAATCATAGCAACATCAGATTACCCGACGCAAGCTTATCATGCATAGAGTAAAGCCTTCTTTGGTCTAAATCAGATATACGGACGGCAGGAAGTGCGATATGCACATTAATATAGCAGCATTTTATATGACTCTAATATTTTTACAGTACTGTGACGGTTAGGTTCAGGGTTGGGGTGGGGGTAGACGTTAATAAAATTCAATAAACAGGAAATTTAATAAATAATAGAAAAAAAATCTCATTAACTTACGGCCGCAAACGTATCTGATCTGATCATTTTATTATGAATTTATATTAAAACTACATAAAAGTAAACTTAAACGTTTCAGTGGGCTATAAAAGAACTCAAAGCTCCTGAGGTTGTGCGGGCATTTCAACTCCCAACACTTTTTGTTAGCAAAATCTCACATGATTGACTTACTATAAACGTTTAAATTAAAAACAAACTTAAGTTTCTTGTCTACTCAAAAAAACTGTGTTTTAAGTGTATTATACGGGGGTATAACATTTTAATGAATTCTCCAGCATAGTGTAGCATTACTGAACTAAACTACTCCTACAGTTTTTACTACAGTAGCCTAAACTGTGGTGTATATAATGTACCCTATAGTTTTAAGCCTACAATATATGGGTAATTTGTTTAGTTGTTGTTATACAATCATCATCACAACAGATGAAGTATGTTAAAAACACTATTTTTTACATGTGGTAGCCTTAAGAACTGACTGGTCTGGAATGGGACTTACAGATAATAAAAAGTATACTTATTATAATGAATATTACTATTTTCCAGTTCTCCAGATGTGAAGCGCCTCTGCCTGGGGCCTCAGTGAAGATCCCGGTGGGCTTCAGGGGTCAGTGCACTTCTGAGGGAACCTACAAAGATGAGCTCATAACCCTCACTTTACAGCCTGGAGTTTATTTACTGTTCTCAGTTATTAAGCCAATTTACGAGCCCTTTCAACAGCCGAGACTCTTCCTTCAGCTCACGTTGAATGCTGGATTTAATCCTCATCAAGCCGAGATGATTAGTTTACATTTGTACTGTTGGTATATATTACACATATATAGAAGCATGCCTTACTATGTGATATGACAGAGAACTGAAGCAAATAGAGGACATTCTAGAAAAGTCCTCTCAAAGTTTATTTCATTTAATAATAATAATAGTTCCTTACATTTATATAGCAATTTTCAGGGCACTCAAAGCGCTTTGTACATTGGGGGAATCTCCTCATCCACCAATGTGCAGCATCCATCTGGATGAAGCCAATTATGGTATGTGGATGGTAAGGAGGCCATGATGGAAAGAGAAAAAAAAACAACTTAAAACAGCCTGGGCTGGTTGGCTGGTTTTAGCTGGTCGACCAGGCTGGTTTTAGAGGGGTTTTGGCCATTTCCAGGCTGGTTTCCAGCAATTTCCAGCCTGTTGTTAGCTGGTCAGGCTGGGAGATGACCAGCTAAAATCAGCTTGACCAGCCCAGCCAGGCTGGGAGCCCAGCCAAAACCATCTACGTCCAGCTTAAACCATTGGCCACAACCCCGTTAAAATCAGCTTGGACGACCAGCTAAAACCAGCCAACCCCAGCCTAGGCTGGTTTAAGCTGGATTTTCAGCAGGGAGTGGGCAGATTTGGTCAGGGTGCCGGGGTTAAACCCCTACTCTTTTTCGAAGGACATCCTGGTATTTTTAATGACCACAAAGAGTCAGGACCTCAGTTTAACGTCTCATCCGAAAGACAGTGCCCACTGAGCAGTATAGAGTCCTTGTCACTATACTGGGGCATTAGGACCCATACAGACCACAGGTTGGGCGCCCCCTGCTGGACTCACAAACACCACTTCTGGAAGTGGATTTATTTATTCATTTTCCTGCGGCTTAGTCTCTTTATTCATTCACGGTTGCCACAGCGGAATGAACCGCCAACTATTCCATCATATGTTTTGCACTGCGCCAATGCTAATCACTGAGCCACCATGTCAGCCTATTTTATGTATTATAATAATTTTTAAAAAGCCTAAACTATAGCGCTTTTTACAATATTACAATAAAAAAATTACGTAATTTAAAAAATCAAGTACACACAGTAAACACTGATTAATTTAAAAAATTGTAGTCTATTTAACAGTTTTTCAAAACTTCAGAACTGATACATTGTTAACACGGCATTCACTTCTGGAACGTTTTTCCAAAACCTCCATCCAACATATTTTAAATGCTACAACATTTTTCCAAAGCGCTCTGAGAACATCCAAAAGTAACAATATTTGCAGAATGATACAACGCAACGTGCACACAGTCAAGAGCATTTTAAAAAGGGAACATTTACAAATAACACTTTTACAACATAATAACAACGTTAGCTGAACGTTCTCTGAGCATATTTTTGTTATGTGTAGCTGTAATTATGTTTCACAGTGACACATCTGCAGTCAAATGAGAGACGAGCGGAAGAATGTGCTGTTCTACACTATGCATAACTAGTATTCAGGTAAATACTTCAATAACAGATCACACGCTGCATTCCTGACTTACTGATCTGTTCTCAGGTCAGTGCTGCAGATTTACACGCACAAATCTTCACCACAGCTGATCTCAGGTCAGTTCTCAGATTGTTTTCACACACTCTGTTTTTTGGTGTTTACTCATCGCCATCTGGTGGTGGCAGAGGGTGTTACAAGACTAATCACATTGCATAAGCATGCAGCATGGATTGAGGAGAGTAAATGTCCAGAACTGGCAACATTTCATCTCAAAATGAAAACATATATTTAAATATTCAATTATATTTATATACATTTTATAACTCTTTGCGTATATATATATAAATATATATATTAATATATTTATATAAATATATATATATATAAATATATATATATATATATATATATATATATATATATATATATATATATATATATATATATATATATATATATATATATATAATAATAATACACACACACACACACACTCACCAGCCATTTATTAAGTACACCTCTCCAACTGCTTGTTATCGCAAATTTCTTATCAGCCAGTCACACGGCAGCAGCTCAATGCATTTAGGCATGTAGACATGGTCAAGATGATCTGCTGCATCAGAATGGGGGAGAAAGGGGATTTAAGGGACTTCGAACGTGGCATGGTTGTTGGTGCCAGACGGGCTGCTCTGAGTATTTCAGAAACTGCTGATCTACTGGGATTTTCACGCACAACCATCTCTAGGGTTTACATGCTCCGACAAAGAGGAAATATCCAGTGAGCGGCAGTTCTGTGGGCACAAATGCCTTGTTGATGAGGCCAGAGGTCAGAGGAGAATGGCCAGACTGGTTCCAGCTGATAGAAAGGCAACAGTAACTCAAATAAGCACTCGTTACAACCGAGCTCTGCAGAAGAGCATCTCTGAACACACAACACGTCCAACCTTGAGGCAGATGGGCTACAGCAGCAGAAGAGCACACCGGGTGCCGCTCCTGTCAGCTAAGAACAGGAAACTGAGGCTACAATTCACACAGACTCACCAAAACTGGACAATAGAAGATTGGAGAAACGTTGCTGCTCTGATGAGTCTCCATTTCTGCTGACACATTCAGATGCTCGGCTCACAATTTGGCCTCAACAACATGAAAGCATGGATCATCCTGCCTTGTATCAGCGGTTCAGGCTGGTGGTGGTGGTGTAATGGTGTGGGGGAGATTTTCTTTGGCTCCATTAGTACCAATTGAGCATCAACGCCACAGCCTACCTGAGTATTGCTGCTGACCATGTCCATCCCTTTATGAGCACAGTGTCTCCATCTTCTGATGGCTACTTCCAGCAGGATAACGCAGCATGTCATAAAGCTCAATCATCTCAGACTGGTTTCTTGAACATGACGATGAGTTCACTGTACTCAAATGGCCTCCACAGTCACCAGAGCTCAATCCAATAGAGCAGCTTTGGGATGTGGTGGAGCGGGAGATTGGCATCATGGATGTGCAGCCGACAAATCTGCAGCAACTGTGTGATGCTATCATGTCAACATGGAGAAAAATCTCTGAGGAATATTTCCAGCAGCTTGTTGAATCTCTGCCATGAAGGATTAAGGCAGTTCTGCAGGCAAACCGGTACTAGTAATGTGTACCAATAAAGTGGCCGGTGAGTGTGTATGTATATATTATTTTTGTTTTGTTAATATTACACATAATATCCCATTCAAATCCCATTCCAGAGCTCTTCTTGATATATTTCGGCCATAATAATAAATGTACTAATAATTTAAAAAATGAAAAATTGTCAAATCAAATAAATAATTTGCTAATTGTTGTCCTAAAATTAAAATGAACATATCTTAACTCATAAATTTAAATAAAGGGGTTTAAGTATATTAATTAATCAATATTAACACAATGTTTGTTATATATTGTGAAGAATGATGAATATAATTTTTCAATTAATATTAGCAACTATACTCAGTACTATAAACTCTATGATCTGTAAGTTTTTATTAAAAAGAACATAATAAACTCTGCATTTAACAATCAACACTTTAGCATTAAACAGTAATAATGAATAATAATCAGTATATTTACAGCCAATCAGCTCCTCTAGATGCAGGTCACATGTTACTCTTTCTCGTTCTCTCTCCTTACTACTCTCAGCCAATCATCTCATCTGCACGTGGATCACATGTTTCTCTCTCTCCCTCTCTTTGTGTCTGTGTCTGTGTGTCTCTATCTCCTCCCTGCTCTCAGCCAATCATCTCCTCCGGCTGCAGTCACCTGCTCTCTCCATCACCTCTCTCTCTCCGTCTCTCTCTCTCTCTCTCTCTCTCAGTGAGTGGTGCTGATGCGAGCAGCAGTGATGGAGTCTCCTCCGTCTAACACTTCTCCTCCTCCTCCTCCATCATCATCCCTCACTCCTGCCGTTCCTCCATCAGTGAAGCTGGGCCTGACGGCGCTCTACACGCTCTTCTACTGTGTGCTGTTCATCTTCGTGTACGCTCAGCTGTGGCTGGTGCTGCGCTACAGACACAAGCGCTTCAGCTACCAGACGGCGTTCCTGTTCCTGTGCCTGCTGTGGGCGGCCCTGCGCGCGCTGCTCTTCTCCTTCTACTTCAGGGACTGCGGGACGGCCAACACACTGCGGCCCTTCTGCTTCTGGCTGCTCTACTGCTTCCCTGTGTGTCTGCAGTTCTTCACACTCAGCCTCATGAACCTCTACTGCGCTCAGGTCAGTTCATATGTATATGTGTATACTGCGCTCAGGTCAGTTCATATGTATATGTGTATACTGCGCTCAGGTCAGTTCATATATATGTGTATACTGCGCTCAGGTCAGTTCATATGTATATGTATACTGCGCTCAGGTCAGTTCATATATATGTGTATACTGCGCTCAGGTCAGTTCATATGTATATGTATACTGCGCTCAGGTCAGTTCATATATATGTGTATACTGCGCTCAGGTCAGTTCATATTTGTGTAAACTGCACTCAGGTCAGTTCATTTATATGTGTATACTGTGCTCAGGTCAGTTCTTATATGCATACATATATACTGCGCTCAGGTCACTTCATATGTATATGTATACTGCGCTCAGGTCAGTTCATATATATGTGTACACTGTGCTCAGGTCAGTTCATATTTGTGTAAACTGCACTCAGGTCAGTTCATTTATATGTGTATACTGTGCTCAGGTCAGTTCTTATATGCATACATATATACTGCGCTCAGGTCACTTCATATGTATATGTATACTGTGCTCAGGTCAGTTCTTATATGCATACATATATACTGCGCTCAGGTCACTTCATATGTATATGTATACTGCGCTCAGGTCAGTTCATATATACATACATACATATATACTGCGCTCAGGTCACTTCATATGTATATGTATACTGCGCTCAGGTCAGTTCATATATATGTGTATACTGTGCTCAGGTCAGTTCATATATATGTGTATACTGTGCTCAGGTCAGTTCATATATATGTGTATACTGTGCTCAGGTCAGTTCATATGTATATGTGTATACTGTGCTCAGGTCAGTTCATATATATATGTGTATACTGTGCTCAGGTCAGTTCATATGTATATGTGTATACTGTGCTCAGGTCAGTTCATATGTATATGTGTATACTGTGCTCAGGTCAGTTCATATATATGTGTATACTGTGCTCAGGTCAGTTCATATGTATATGTGTATACTGCGCTCAGGTCAGTTCATATGTATATGTGTATACTGTGCTCAGGTCAGTTCATATATATGTGTATACTGTGCTCAGGTCAGTTCATATGTATATGTGTATACTGCGCTCAGGTCAGTTCATATGTATATGTGTATACTGTGCTCAGGTCAGTTCATATATATGTGTATACTGTGCTCAGGTCAGTTCATATGTATATGTGTATACTGTGCTCAGGTCAGTTCATATATACTGCGCTCAGGTCAGTTCATATGTATATACTGTGCTCAGGTCAGTTCATATATACTGCGCTCAGGTCAGTTCATATGTATATGTGTATACTGTGCTCAGGTCAGTTCATATATATGTGTATACTGCGCTCAGGTCAGTTCATATATATGTGTATACTGCTCTCAGGTCAGTTCATATATACATACATATATACTGCGCTCAGGTCAGTTTATGTATAAATACATATACCGGTATATATATATAGTTTGTGTAATATATATGTATATATGTATGTATGTATTGGAGGTGTATTGGTACTTGTTTTCATCCTGAACCATCATGGTACGAGGCTCATGGTTCAGTTCATGCTCTCCCCTGATGAATACAGTCAGTCCAGATGTGCATCACTGTTAGACAGAAAACTCCACATCTGTGCAACAATTAAAACACTCTGACATGCAGCACTCAGGAGCGGTTCCTCCATGCTGCCGTGGTCATGCAGATTTGCTTCCTTAAACAGAGGCTCTGAGTCCACTGCTCGGGAACTGACATTAATGAGCACTGCTGTGGGCAGAAGTTGAAATTGTGTTATCTTCACACGGCGTCTAAAAACACAGGGTGGTGCAAGAGATGCAAGTGTTTAATGGTCACACACGTCCGTCAAACAATGGAAATATAAGATACCGTCTCATCCTGTGCGCACATCAGTCAGTCTGTGAGTGAGTCTCCTCTATTATCCCTGTTATGCACCCATATCGAATTGTGACCCCAAACAAGAGGTACAAATGTAATTAAATTAACAATAACTTTATTAACTTTAAACACAGAAGTACCGAAAATAAATAATGAGAACTACAAAATAAACTACATCAATCATCCAATTAAACACCATCAGCAAAATACAAAGAGAGAGTCCATCAAACGAGGCACTCGAAGTACACAATCAGCTGCAGAGGTGATTCCCCGTCAGCCTTTATTTCTGTATAAACACGACAGACGACTTCTTACACTCATCTGTATTCCAGAGCTGAGTGTTATCACAGCAACAGACGGCAGCAGTCGTGCAGATTATTTCCCGGCAGGTCTGAGCAGCAGAGAGCAGTGTATTGATGCTGCACGTGTCTCTGCATGTGTGTGACCTACATCAGTGGAAATCTGCGTCATTATTGATGACGATTGTGGAAATGACGGAGCAGCAGACGCTCAAACACTCTCAGACTGATC